AAATAAAATAAAATAAAAATTTGGCTGTTATATATGCTAACCTATAGAATCAACCATATATTATTATTATTATTATTATTACTACTGCTACAACGCATTTAATGAATGCTAATATGCCCCAGTGATATGAAAGGGTTAAATTTTCACGTGTTATTACTAATTCTTAAAAAATTTATACATAAAAATATTTTAAATAGAAACAATATTTAAATCAAAATTTAAAATTTAAATATTAAATATACACACTTTTATAATATATATAATATTTTTTAATATAGAAGTTGCTTCTCTTATATTTGAAAATTTATTATAAAATAATCAACGAGTTATTTTTTGCTTTATAGATTATATAAATATTTTTTGCAAAGATAATCAAATAAATATAATACGGTAAACCAGATTTGCTCAGATTATAATTTGATAATTAACATCTAAGTTAAAATATCAGATTAAATGTGCTTGTTTTGTGTGTGTTAGTTTTTTTTTTTTTGTTTTTTTTGTTTTTTTATGTAAGTATTATTAAAGCTTTGTTCTTCTAACAAAACACTTTTTGACACAATTATCAATATATATTATATTTTTTAACAAAAAAAATTAGTATTTAATAAAAATATATTATTTTTATATTACTGATTTAATTTTTCTTACTTCTTATACAAAATAAAAAATACTTCAAACTAAAACATTTAGCAAACAAATTCTAACTTTTTGTAATGACCCATTTGATTTGTAATATAATACTTTAAAGTAACGAATATAATTAGTTAATAATAGAGAACTATGATATTATTTTATTATTATTTATATAAATATTGTTGTTAATAATTGTAAAATAAAAAATAATATACTTCTTCCGTCCACAAACTAATGTCCTACTTTTCTATTTGGGACGTCCAACAACTATTGTCTTATTTCATTTTTTAAACACAAATTTTATATTTTTACCCTTTATTCGTTTATTACTTTTCATCTCTACCATACAATTAAGGGCAAATTTGTCAATTTATAACAAAAAAAAAACAATCACCTAAAAAATCGTGCAAATATACTTTAGGACAATAGAAATTGGACGGAGGGAGTATATATTTTAAAAAGATTTAGAATATATATTTAAAAATTTAAAAAATTATATTTTAATAAAATATTTAGGCAATATGAATATCGTTTTGTAAATAATAAATTTTATATAACACAAATAAATAAAAAAATATTCATTTATTTATAATTATTATAAACTAATTTAATAAAAATGATGTTTTATATATAGATAAATATATTTATTTATTGAAAAAAGATTTAAAAATAAAAAAATTTTGAATTGTTAATATTATATTATATCAAATTAATTAAAGCATCAATTACTTTTTTATTATATTTATCATTAGTTTTTCAGTTTTTACTATAACATAACTCATTACTTTTGTCAAGAAAAAATTACCTTCAACAAAAAGAAATTAAAATAAAAATAAATTAAAAAATATCCAAATTTTTTTGAAATTACAAAATTTTAAAGTTTAAATTTAACGTAAATTATCTATAAATAAATTTAAAGTTCATTAACTAATTCTCTATCTTTTCATATTAAATTAAATTAAATAAATGACTAGTGAAAATACTGATTTTTTCAATCAATTCTTAAATTAAATTGTTAGATTCGATTTTACAATAAAAATAATAATTCTTAAGTTATATTATTAATATATTTATTTTATACATTTATATTATATTATGATTCTTTTTATGTTATTTTTAATTAATATATATATATGTTAATTTATTTCGAAGAATTTTAAAATTAAAATTTATATAGATCAATATTTAAAAGTTTAAATATAATATTATATAAAAATATTATTAGATAATAAAAATATATAGAAATATTTATAATAAATAAATTATTTATATATATTATTACATAATAAAAATATATAGTAATAAATAAATTATTGTGGATTTATAGAATAGTAAAGGTTGTGTTAGAGGTAATTTACTATAATTGATATAAATAAAATAATTTGAATATTGAGATAAATATGATGTGAACAAGAGAAATAATAGAGTAAAAATAATAATATAATAAAGGCTTTTAAGTTGATTTGTATTTGTTAAATTTGTTTTGAATTAATAAATTTTACAAATTATAAAAGTATATCATTTATTATTTGTAAAGTAAAATAGAAAATGTATAATTTGTCATGGATGAAATAAAATATATATTAGTATATTGTATATTTAGGTAGATTAAAAATGATTGTCTGAACGCTATATAATGCCCTTTCGTCAAATGTAAAAATATAACTTTTATATAATATGTAATTTTATCTTTTATATAGTAACAAAAAATAGTTAAAAATAATAAAAATATATATTTCCATAGGTTTTTAATTCAAAGTATAATTTTTATTATTTTTGTTGTCATACTAAAAGAATTTTATGTTAAGATATGAAGTCTGGATATGATTTAGATATTACATATAGATTTTAGAGATATGATTTGGATATTATTGGCATAGACTTAGCCTATAAATATCCATGTATTCTCACTTTAACATGTGTCTGCGTATTTTATAGTAAAATTTCTAACTTGGCAGCGCCCCAGACGTAGATTATTGTGATCGAACTGGGTTACCAAATTCTTATATTCTTGTGTCCTTGTTTGTCTCTTCTTAATTTCCTGAAATTTCTGTAACAAGTGGTATCAGAGTCTGGTTCGTTGGTAAGGTGAATTGAGAGGAATCAGACATTGGGTCGCTGTGGGAATCCCTTGTGACCTGCGGAAATGTCTTGTGTCGAAAGTCTCCTGGCGGTGTTGGGTCGAAAGTCTCTTGGCGGTGTTGGGTCGGTCCCGACTGGTAGGTCAGGCAGCGGGTCCCTTTGTGATAGGCGGTGCAAGGTTGGCAGGGAAGGATAAGGGTTTCAACAAACACAGCGGAGGAGATATCCAATACACTGATTTTGAGCGTCAGCAGTCCAATGGAGTCATGGATTTTGGTTTCAGCAGCGTCATTCCACTCATGCAGTGATTCGGGAATCATTGAATCCTATACCGCAGGTAATTTTGGTGTTGTTTATCTTGCAGATGATGAGACACTAAAAGTTGTAGGTAAATGGATGGTTCGAATAACACCGAATGGTGGGGAGTGGAGACTGAATGACGTGAGACATATCATGGGTCTAAAACGGAATCTGATTTCCGTGGGACAATTGGATAAGGTAGGTTACTCGACAGTTTTTGAAACTAAGTCGTGAAAGGTAACTCAAGGATTCATTGAGGTGGCCCAAGGAAAAAGAGATAGAAATGTCTACATGACGAAAACCATGCAAGAAGGAATCAGTTCTGTGGCTATAAATAATGACACAAATTTATCGCATTCTCGTCTCGGACACATGAGCGAGAAGGGGATATGGGAGCTCATGTAAAATGGAAGATTGTCAAGTCTCAAGTCCGTCGATATTGGAGTATGCGAGGACTGTATCTTTAGGAAGCAACGAAAGATGGCGTTCTCAAAGGGTGGAAGAGACCTGGAAAAGGAAAAGTTGGAGTTGGTTCATACGGACTTGCGGGAACTAGCTTTTGTATTGACCCTTGGAGGCTCACAGGACTACCCCGTGGTCATTGACGACGTTACAAGGGAGATATGGGTTTATTTTCTTAAGTGTAATTACGATGCTTTTGATACATTTAGGAGGTGGAAAACACGTGCAGTGGGAGTAGTGAGCTGATTTATGAGCAATTCTCAAAGACAATCTAAGATGGTGACCTTAGATGAATTGAGGTTGTGTTCAACCTCAATGGGCCTCGATGAGTGAAGAAGAAGGCTTGGCGTTGTCATTGCGGAAGAAGTAAAATGTTGAGGTGGAAGATGAAATCAGTCTCCAAGTGAGAGATTATAGGGATATGAAGCCTGATTATATCCTAAAATCTAGGGATATGATTTAGATATTATATATAGATTTTAGAGATATGATTTGAATATTATTGACATAGACTTAGCCTATAAATATTCATGTATTCTCACTTTAACATGTGTCTGTGTATTATATAGTAAAATTCATGGCTTGGTAGCCCCCAGACCGTAGATTATCGTGATCGATACTAGGTTACCAAATTCTTGTGTTCTTTTGTCTTTGTTATCTTATCTTGATTTCCTCGGAATTTTTGTAACACTTTAATTTTTATTTTAGTAAAAATAATTATATATTAATATAATTTTTTTTACCTATATTACAAATATATCATTATATATATAATTAATTTATATATAAAAGCAAAAGGATAAAAATATCAAAAAAATATTATATTTTTTTACTAATCAATAAGATGTTACTCCCTCCGTCCCAAATACCATGTCCACGTTGCCGTTTCTGTCCGTCCCATATACAATGTCACTTTCCTTTTTTGAAAAATGATTACACACTTTAATTTCATTTTAAATTTTTAAATTTTATTTTTTTAATTTTAATTAAATTAATTAGTTATTTTAATCTTAATTTATAATTATTTATATTATAGGATAATTATTTTCACTAATATATTCTTAATTATCTACTAATTACACCCCTTCTACCAGTGTAGCAGATATGGTATCTGGAACGGAGGGAGTATTATTTTTTTAATATACTTAAAAAAAAATGAAAAAAAAATTACTTTAAAATAAAATAGAAATATTATAAATTTTATATTAGAAAAACAGACGTATTTTTTTATAACAGAAAAATTAAAATATTTTTAATGTCTGAAATAGTATCTCCACCAACGAAAACTTTATCTCAATTGTAAGTTACAGAAAACGGCCCAAATTTTTTTAAAAATACGAACTTTACACAGCGCCGTTGCCTTTCCACTTTAGGACTCGGACGCCAAGTAGATCCACACCGTTAAATTTATGGAGTCGCGGTGTAGTCCACTACGGACGGCGTAGATTTCACGGGTGCTAAGGTCCCGGGTGCCGACATGTAAACAGACCAAGGAACCCAAATTTGGAGGCGGAGGTGATTCAGGTGAGCTTTACGCAACCGCATTCACCATTCTTACCCAATTCTTCAATCTCCACCACTATCAGATTCCTTCTTCCACTTCCCTTCCATCGATTTTCCTTTCCCCACCACCCTCATTATCCAATCTCCCAAGAATTCGATCGGTCTTGCCGATTCGTTGACGGAGCGAGGAGAATTCTGCGGATTCCATGGGTAATATCGGGAGCAGCGGCGTGCACGGCCGGAGGAGGAGTTCCAGCCGGCGGAACCACCCTCCTCCGCCTCCGCCGCAGGCTCCGCAGCCGGAGATCACCGCCAATAGGTACGTCTTCGCGGCGGCGACACCGTACCCTCCGTCGCAATACCCCAACCCTAATTATCACCCCTATTATCAGCACCCTGGGTATTATGCCCCTCCTCCGCCGGGAGCGATGCCGCTGCCTCCGCCGGCTCCGTACGATCAGCAACACGCGGTTAATTGGGTGAACGGTCGATATACGTATGGTCCGATGATGCAAGCTCCGCCTCCTCCGCCCCCTTATGTGGAGCACCAGAAGGCGGTTACGATCCGGAATGATGTTAATTTGAAGAAGGAAACATTGAGGATCGAACCTGATGAAGAGAATCCTGGGAAACACCTCGTCGCGTTTACGTTCGACGCCACTGTCGCCGGAAGGTATATAGATAGCAACCTTTTCTCTTTAAGCTCTGTTCCGTAGATTATCAATATATATATATTTGCAAGAGAGAGTTTCATGTGATCTGATTGCAAAAAGCTCGCGTGTTAATTCGAGTTTGTGGAGATTTCCATCACTGATTTTCCAATTTCCCTGCCTTTCATTCAAAAATCAAATGGAAGTAGAATTGAATTGTCAGATTTTGTTTTCATTCTCTTATTTATCCATTTATTTCCAGTTTATGCCATTGTTATATATATATATATATATATATATATAAGATATGCTGTTTTGGGTGGTGGTAACTCTGATTTCTGTTTTCCTTTCTACATGATGCAGCATCACTATAATTTTCTTTGCCAAGGAAGGTGAAGGCTGTTCCTTGACTCCAACAAAGGAAAGCTTACATCCACCCATCACTGTCCATTTCGAAAAGGGTTTGGCACAAAAGTTCAGGCAGCCTCTAGGAACTGGGATAGATTTCTCACAATTCGAGGAGGGAGAATTGTCAAGAGATGGGGACATGGAAGTTTACCCTTTGGCCGTTAAGGCGGAGACAACTCAAGATAGTCGAGCTGGAAACCCTGCTGCTGATAAAGGAGGATCCACAAACTCTCAGATCACACAGGCTGTGTTCGAGAAAGATAAGGGTGAATATCATGTTAGAGTGGTGAAGCAAATCTTGTGGGTAGATTGCAAGAGATACGAGCTACAAGAGATATATGGGATTGGGAATTCCGTGGAGGGTGAATTTGATGGGAATGATCCTGGAAAAGAATGTGTCATCTGCCTTTCTGAACCCCGAGACACTGCTGTTCTTCCCTGTCGACATATGGTAAACCATCCTCATCCTCATCCTCGGCTCGCTTCATTTTGGTAGTTTGCAAGTGATACTACTAACTTTTAACCTCTCCATTCCATTTCAGTGTATGTGCAGCGAGTGCGCAAAAGTCTTGAGGTTCCAAACAAACAGGTGTCCAATATGCCGACAGCCAGTTGAACGTCTGCTAGAGATCAAGGTCAACAATGGGGCTGATGAACGATGAAAACTAGCTGCTGCTGCACCGATTCTGTAAAGTTTTTCAGTATGTTCAACATGTTTTTATTTACTCTTCCGGGCTTTCTTTTACTCTCCTATTTATCCGCCTCATTGCCTCCGAAACTCACATAATACTTGCTTGAATAACCAGGCCGAAAAGTCTTAAAAGGCAAATGAGTCTTTTTTATGAAGTCTGTGTTGTTCTTGTTTTTAAATTCGATTGTGATGCTTGAATGGCCTGTGTTCTTATATCCTTTGCATAAACTACACCCTCGACTTGGTAGTTGGTACTGTCTTCTTTGTGTGGATATTTAGGGCAGTCTTTTTTGTGCAGATTTAGGAGATAGTTTCTTTTGGCAAAATTGGCTTAATAGAAAGAAACACATCTACTACTGTAATAATAAATTAACCAACATTGGCAAAAAGAAAAAAGAGTTAAAAATCAGGTCTTGGAATTTCATAAATAATTCCTTGGGCAGCTCAGCTCTCCCTCAGTAGTAGCAATGGTGCAAAAACTCCCATCTCTGAGGCTCATTGCAACACCAAGACACTTTCAGCCTGTCGACGTCGATTGCGATTGTTGCTTAATTTGTAGAAACCAACACAGCATCCCATCTACTCTACAAACCTTCATCCCAAAATTGACAACTTTATTTACCTACTAAGTTTGTCCTTGGAGTTGGAACAGATAGCCGGCTCGGGGTTGCTCGACTGACTTTCAGTCAAACCGGGCCTGATCCAAACCTTTGTGTGTCCCTCCCGGCAGACTGTGAGAACAGATTCTTGAGTGAATATCAAACCGGAGAGGGGTTCCGTGTGGATGCGATGAGCGATTAGAGGGGACAGCTTTGGAACGTCACGTGTTCTCGGAGCAGGTTGCAGTGTGCCCAAAGGACAAGCATTGTCCCAATGCGGCGACTGACTTCCCGCGCTAAAAGTGGGAGATCCTCCAGGGGGGCGACGAACCGGCACCACGAGCTCATCCATTTCCAGATCCCATAAAAGCAGCCGCGCATCCTGCATGATATCAGGCGTGTCACGTTGTATTCGAGGGTGTTCCTCATATAAACTACATCTTTACTAAAAAGTTTCTTCTCACAACAAACATGTTTGTACTAATGCCACAGAAAGCCAGAAACACCGGTAGGATTCGCAGATTCAAGTATTTCCTTGCTTCAACTTAAATGAACTGAAAATAAAATGCTTTTTAGGTACATACCTGGCCAACAGATCCGAAACGGTATACAATATTCTCCCCGGCATCATCTGCATTTGGAGCCGCCCAGTATGAATCGAACGCCACACCACTAACCTGCCAGCCTCTCTCTGTAAGAAATCACAATGCCGAAAGGAAAGAAAGAAAGAAAGAAAGAGCCGAGAACTCACCCAAGAGTTGTGTCCCTCACCCCATGCTACAATCTTTCGATCCTCCATACTCCATACTTGAACCAGGTCATCTTCTCCTCCAGCCAATATGTACTTTCCATCCATGCTGTTGTTTTAAAGACTATCAGTCGTTACATGTGAGAACACTATCGAATATCTTTTACTTCTTAAAAACAAACTAAAAAACACAGAAGAAAAAATAAAGTATATATTATTGACATACTGAGAGGGGAAACAAGAAAACATTTGCATACAAAAAAGATTTTAAAAGCATGTTCTATAAAAATCAATAATATCTTTTCTTCGAAATCCAAACAATAACACTACTTCGAGCATTTTCTTCCTATTTACACATATATTAGGAACTGTCTGCTTTGGATGTAGAAAGAGGTAATAATTAAGCTATGATTTTCTTAGCATGCAATCACTTTTACTCACCTCCAAGCACAACACAAAAGAGCACCATAATAGCTTTTTCCACCGCATATAAGCTGTTCATTTTTGTAGTCAAACACTCGGAGATAACCTGCATCCATCAATAAATTTCCTTGCATATAAGGGAGACGGGAAAGCCAATTGCAACTATGGAAACACAAATATATAGAATGGGGTAAGATGATGGCAGTACCATCCCTTCCTACTGTTGCCATATAAGATCCATCGGTTGAAAGAGCAATTCCATTTATTGACCCTTGGCCTATATGCCATCTAGCAATTGGATTCTACAAATAGCCGGAAAATAAAATAAAATAAAATAAAAATGGAGGTGCTTCAGACCATGGTAACTTTTAGCAAATGATGAGAACTAAGAATCAGCCCAAATCAACTAACTTTAAATTTTCTTTTCCTCAACAACTGAAAAACACATCATTTCATAGATAAATAAATAAATCAACAGAGATATTTTTAGAACGGCGAAACAATAACATGAAGAAAAGAAACAGACAATGACTACCTTACTATTTCGTGCATGTATTACAGAAAACTGAGTTGGATCCTTTATCAAAGGGAATGAAGGGTCACCAGAACCATCTTTTTTCTGGAAAATAGGAAAGAATTCTAATTATAAGTTCTGTCAGAAGTCTTCATTACAAGAAACAAATAATTCATCCAAAATAAAGTCAAGAACTTGCCTTATCATATACATACATATTTCCATCAGCATGTGCAACTATGAATGTTCCATCACCGCTGGGGATCCATGCAATGCAAGTGCAGCGACTGTAAGCAAGCAAAAGAATCAGAGAAGAAAGGAACAGTTGTGATTGAGTGGCTGCTATATAGATTTAATAACAGAAAGGATAAAGATGCAGGTTTCATACAGTTCCATATATATCCCCATGCGCAATTAACATATAAGTAAATAGTACGTAAAGCCTCTCAAACTCCTTGACAGAATCATGAAGAATATATTAAAATAAAATGGATTTGTAAAACACTTGCTAGGATTCATACTGTAAATGGAAGGTATGGCGCATGCAAGACTTGTGTCGTCCCATTTTTCGGCACTGTAAGTTTTAATTTATTTTAAGATACATAATACTTACATATGCAATTAAATATGACTCTATCAACAAACAAAATATAACCGTTGAAGAATCCCAACGTAAAAAATAAACCAAAAGGCATAAGAGTTTGAAGTAATAGCAAATAGGCCTATTTCAAAACATAAAAATCTTATTAATCAAACTCAAAATAATCTCTCTTTGCTTATCATTGTTATCTTTGTCAAGCTCTTGAATCTTAATGGCATGCAAAAACAAACTAAATTAACCATAATTAACCCTAATAAACAAAAATATGAGTTATGCATGCCTCGCCAAATGGCATGCCTTTAGAATTCTGTTAGTATTAAAATTGTTCCGGAGACATAATAAAAGCCCTGATTTCATGTTCAATGAATGCGACAGATTTCAATAAAGTAATCTTTTTACGGTGGCCGAGGGGGACTGGTCATCATTTTTCCCAGTTGAAATCCATGTTTTATTGTGGTTAACATAATATAATATTCTACATGAAGATATACAATTAGTTAATGAGGTATATGTTCAGTCAATGGGTTGCAGTTATTACAATATCATGTCTCTATATGACTTGCAGTCTGGCATAGGTCGGGTTTCAGAAAATTATTGTCCCCGATTCCTTTAAGCCTGGTATCATTTGGTGACCTCCCATTTGTAGGGTCATGTTGGGTATTCAGTGCAAAGGCTTATATGTGAAGGTACTTGAAGAGAAATTCAAGGAATGAATGAGGCATCGTACTGGTCTCGATCGACCCACAAAATCCATGCTAAAATTTATAATAATTGCTCAATATTTCAACAACTATTGGATAACAAGGATTATCATGTTTATGAATCCTAAACAAAGTAAATAAAATTAAAAATATGTGCTCTTATGGTAGGAAAAGAATTTATAAAAGACAACTCAAGACAACTCTTATAGCGGCAAAAGCTACATGTAATTAAAGATCAAGTCGCATATGAATAGTTCGAAAAAAAAATAAAGGAAGAAAGATAAAAGCTCCAAAAAGAAGAAAAAATGACGAAACTCTTGCCTATTATTGACAGATCCATCTTTATTATAATGTTGTGCCCCAACAGCCTTCTTCCCCGTATCCAGTAATTGTTGTCTCAGCGACATTGAATAAACTACAAAATTAAGTAGCGCACTTGACTTAATAAAAATGTAAAATAGATGTACTAATCCAGCTGAAGGTCAAGAGGGGACACATACCATCTCCAGAGCTCAGCCCAATAAGTAAATCATGTCCATCTTTTGCATCAGGGTCAAATGAATGGCAGACAGGATTAGAATTGCTAAATTGTATGGACTTGATAGGATCCTAGATAGACAATAAACCACCTCCTGTAAACAATTCCATTGAATTAATCAACTTTAAATCGAAAATAACAGCCAAAGTTACCTTATCCTGAGAATTTAAGTCCCCAATGAAAATTGCATCACCAACATTGAACACCAAGTAAGTTCCTTCACCATCGAAATTTGAACTGCTGACAACATTATTTGAAATTGGACCTCCTACAGATCCTATTCTACTACTGTTGCCATTCGCAATCTTACTTCCGCCATTACTACCTCCAACAAAACTTAGTGCCCGGCTACCATTTCCACCACCCAAAAACCTTGCTGCTGCTGACTTCACTCCACCACTTACACCGTAACTTGATGATGACTGTCCAGGTGCTTGTATTTGCTTATCTTTGAGATGGGCAATCGTCATCTGACAACAAAATGAAAAATAAATCAACAACTGTCATTTTTTCAGTTATTTCGTCTTTAATTGCCCCTCCAAGGAGAAAAGCACGAAAACAAATTTGTTATTACAATAAAAGGGATTTGGAATTGCAGTTTCATTAACTTTTTAACACTCAACCAAATGGTTTTAGATATCGAGCTTCCAGTAAAGCTTAAATCAAGAATCAAGGACAGTAACTAAAGGGCACAGCATTTCTGCTTATCCCATTTTCCTCACTCAAGTCCACCTTAGACAATGTATATCTACCAAAATCGAATCTTGGACAACGACGAAAAGTGTGCAAAGCACATTGTAAGCTAGTTCAACCTTTGTCGACAACATCCACATTAAATGCATGTATTTTCAAATACACATAAAAAGCCAACAAATCAAACCTTTATTTCCAACATACACAGAATCATTTATTCAATTGATCATTCCAAATACCCAAACTTATTCCTGAGGCCGCAGAGAACTATAACTAATAAAACTGGCATTCTTACGGAAGCTAAATTAGACCAAACTCCGCGCCTGAAAATTAAGAATTACTTCAGTAATTACACGGGCAGAAATTTACAGATACCCAGAAAACAACAAATTTGTGGGGGTCAAGTAAACCTAGAAGATAAAACGGAGCAATAGACGAACCTGGGTAACAGTTTTACCGTGGGAATAATGAACAGCGCCCGGAGGATAAGTCTTCTCGTACTGAAGCTTATATTTACCTTCAGGAGTCTTGAAATAAGTCTTCAAACCAGGTGGCTGAGCGCCGCCGCCTGCCGCCGGTGCAGAGGGGCTCATATTGCCAGTCGCCGCCGCATTCATCGGAATCTCCTCTACTTACCAAAACAGAGAATACAGCTCCACTAAACGCCTATTCGAACCATGTAGATCAAATTTATCTAGAGATCGATTATGTACTTCAACACCGAAGGTTTGGTAATGGAGAATGGAGATTGAAACTGTGTAGTTGACCGATTAGCAGGGTTGATTTGGAGGGGAAGGGGAAGTGTTGTAGTAACTAGGGCTCTTGTTGGAAATGAATGGAGGAGGCTACTGTTCCATTTTCAAACTGGATTCAAAGCGTTGTGGTGCCGATTTCCATCTTGATTCCGATCTCGAGTGAGTTTAGGTACCGTGTCTGATATCGATTTTGGGGTTCTAGATTTGGATTTGATTTTGGGCTGGTTTATCAATCAATTATCAGTTCAGTTTAATTTACGGATGAGCTCAAATTCTCAATTTTTTAAATTTAAATTTTTTTCCATTAAATAACGTTGAAATCCGCACATATTCTTTTTCACGGATAAACTTCGAACAAACATTCAAGGTGTGAAAAAACCCTCTCCCTATATATAGATATATATATATACACCAGAGGAAAAAAAAGTGATAAATTAATTATTTTGTTGATATATTTTTTTTTTATATTAATATATATTTATAAAATATTTTATAATTATTAAATTGTTAAAAATTAATTATTGTTATTCAAAATAATAAATACTCCCATCTTCTCAGAACTAAATATCCATTTGTTTTTTTCATATAGTTTTAGAAATATTAGTATTATATTGGGATACACTAAGAATAAAATAGAAACGACTATAATAACCTTATTTTTATGTGTGATATAAAGGTAACGACATTTTTGTAATATATTGTAAGTTGTAAGGGTATTTGTAATGTTAGGTAGATAGTACAGTTACTAAAAAAAAAAAAAAAAAAAAAGAAATAGATACTTTGTTATCGGACGGACTAAAATGAAAAAATAATACTTTGTTATGGGACAAAGGGAGTATAAAAAATAGTATAAATAAATTAATACATTAAAAAATGTAATTGAAAAATAAATTTAATTGTCTTAGAACAATTCACAAAGTTTGTAGTATTTTTTTTAATATTGTCAATAATATTTCTTCAATAAATATTTATGAGTTTAAGGTTGTTTTAATCAAGTAATTTTGTTAATAGCTCGTGTCATATTCATATATAAAAATTTGATTGGATAAATAAATTAATTGATTTGCTCTTTATTATGAAGCCAAATTTTATTAGCATATTATTATTATTATTATTATTATTATTATTATTATTATTAATTACATATTCTTTTAATCCTTTTTATTGTTGATTGAATTACAAATTTTATCCGATCAAACTATTATAAATATATTATATTATGTATAATATATGTCTATGTTGATTTAATTTAATATATGCACTATCATTTTTAATAATACTCCATCCGTCCCATATAATATGAGCGTATTACTGTAAACACGAGAATTTAGGTAAAGTATAATTAGTAAGTAATTAAGAAGTGTATTAGTAAAAATAATTATTATTTAGTAAAAATAATTATAGATTAAGATTAAAATAAGTAAATAGTTTAATTAAAATTAAGAAAATTATAAAATTTAAAATTTAAAATGCGATTAAAGTGCATAATTATATTTCCAAAAATAGAAAGAACAAGTTATGTGGGACGGACGAAAATAGAAAATAGGGACAAATTATGTGGGACGGAGGGAGTATTATTTTTTGTTTGTTAAAATTATACTCCCTCCGTCCCGGTGCAAGGTTGCAATTTACTTTTTGCACGTAAATTTTTGAATATTAGTATTATAATGAGTTGTAATGAAAATGACAAAAATACTCTTATTAGTATTGTCTAATATAAAAATAATGACATTTATGTAATATAGTGTAAGTTGGAAGAGTACTTGTTATGTTAGATAAGTAATACAATTACGAAATTAGGAAATAGTAACCTTGTTTTGGAACGGACGAAAATAAAAAATGACAACCTTTCAATGGGACGGAGGGAGTATTAAGTTTTTTATTATTATTTGCTAAATTTTATTATATTAGTATTAAAGCATCTGTAGTTACCTCTAAGCTATTATTTTCTTTATCTTTCTTATCCACAGTCATATTTATTTCAATATTCAAATTATTTTAGTTATCATCTTTAATTATCTTCAACTCATTATCTTTACTATTTTACAATACCCACAATAACTTATTTTTTTATATATATTTTTATTATGTAATAATATAATAAAAATAATTTATTTATTTATACATAGTCTTATATTTTTATTGTCTAATAATATTTTTATATAATACTAATATATTTTAATTTTTAAATATTAATATATATAAATTTTAATAATTTGAAGCATATAATTTACTAATTTAAAATTTGAATTGGAAAAACTAGAGACAAAAAAAAAAAAAAAAATTTAAAATATGATAGATAAAACGTTATAATTGGTTATGAATTTTAAATATATTATAGATATTTTTTCTTATTGAATTTAAAATATGAAATTTTAAGATTTAAAAAAAAAAAAAATACTTAATTAATTTTTATTATTTTTATTGAATGTAACCTGTTCTTGAGAAAGGTAACAAATTTAAAATAATTGTATTTTTTTATTAAAAGTAACGAGTATTGTTATAGTAAAAATCGAAAAAATAATCACAAAGGCAATGAAGGAGGTGACGATAACAGATGCTCTTATAAATACTAATATAAGTATTTTTGTCATTTTTTTTTTAATTTGTATTATATTTTAATATAATAATTAATATTCAAATATCAATATACAAAAAATAAACGAAAAATTTAATCTTAAACCGAAGAAATATATTATATTTTATCTTTTTCACAAAAAATTGACATCCACAGTAAAATTTTATTATTATATTACTTACACAAATTTTTATATTTGACGTAAAATATATATATATTATATCAAACCAAAATACTTTCTCTTCCCCCCTATTTTATTTCTTTATTTTTATATTTTAAATTAAATGGGAGAGCCCACACAAAAAATTAAAAAGAACCCAACCTTCCCTCCCCTTATTTTGTTTTTCTATTTTTTTATTAAATTAAAAAGTAGGGCCCACATGACAAAAAATGGAAAAAAAATAATGAAAAAAAGCAAAGGGGCGACGTGGCCGATCAATTTCTAGCGTAAATATATATGTAGTAGATATATATATATATATATATATATCTATTAAAATTATATATTATATATATTTATTATTTTTATATTAATTACGTAATTTTCTATTTTTTATATAAATAAAAATAAAATTTCAAATTATTTTACAAAATAAAATATATCCAGGATTTTTTATGTTAATTGTTAGGTTTATTATTTTTTTAAAAAAAATTATTTAGAAATTATTAAATTAAATATTTATTTTTATTTACTTTAAAAAATATTATATCAATATATATTTATAGGGAAAAAATCAATTTTGTTTTCAATCTCAATATAAAAAAATCATCAATTTTAGTTCTATTATAAACCATTTCAATCACTTTTAGTCTCATTATACAATTTCAATCAATTTTTGGTCTCACTTTTAAAAAATTAACGGAAATTATTGACATGGACGTAACGAAGTTTATGTGGCAGTTGACCTGGAAAGTACATGACCATGTACGATTTATACACGATCATGTTGTTACACGGCCATATATATTTCAGTGTATAATTATACACGATCATGTTTAATTCTATACGGCCGTGTACTTTTCCGTTTTGGTCTAAATTTTGTATTTTTTTTGTTATATATATTATTTTAAAAGAAATATTTTGAATTTAGAATAGTTGATATAGTTAAAATAAAAAAAAAAATTAATACTAATCCTAAACATATATAATTGTACTGAAATATAAATTTAATTTTTAATTTTTAATACTATAATATATAAAAATAAAAAATAGCAGTAATTGAATTTTTTAAGAGAAATATTGTTAGTAAATAGTAGAATTTTAAACAAAATCTATAAGTTTTATATTTGAACTAAAATTAATATATTTTAATTATATTAGGATTACTATTGGTTTTTTCCATTTTAACTATATCAATTATTCTAAATTTAAAAATATTATTTTTTAAAAATATATAACAAAATAACTAAATTTTAGATCAAAACAGAAAGGTACACGGGCGTGTAGAATTATACCTGGCCTTATAATAACATAGTCGTGTATAATTATACACTGAAATATACATGGTCGTGTGACAACATGGCCGTGTATAATTCTATATAGCCGTGTACTTTTCAGGTCAGCTGTCACGTCAACTCCATTACATCAACGTTAGCAATTGCCGTTAGTTTTTATCGGTAAAACTACAATTGATGAAAATTATTTATATTGAGACTAAAATTGATAAAAAAAAATATATATATATATATATTAGGACCAAAATTGATTAGATCTAATTATATTTGAATCAAAATTGATTTTTTATTTTTTATTTTTATACTTATATTACATTAAATACTTATTTCAATTTAAAATCTAATTTTAAATTTTAAAATTTGAATTTGAATATAAAGTATAATGATATTGTTGAGCTTGCAAGGTAATTTGGTAATTAATCCAAGAGAAGTAGATGTCCAACCTAAGGGAAAATGCACAGAGGATGAATAATCTAGACAGAGAAAAAGCAGCATGCATAATGGGCCGGAAATAGTAATTGGAACGGACAATGAACTCCGGAAAAGAGCTGCTAGAAAATGGTTGAAAAGGGTGAATGCATTGATTGTATTTACGAGTTCCATAACTCATAATACAATGTAATTAACTATTAAAGAAGGTACGAGGTGAAGTAATAACAAATTGAAACCTTTTGGAGGTTTAGGTAGTAATCATCAAATTATGATTCTTTACTTATAAGTTATCAAAGGATGGGGTTATAAATGACGGTTTTAGAAAGTTATGACGGAGATTAATGGAGAATTTTAACGAAGTAAGGAGAAACTGCTAAAGGGAAAAGATATAAAAGGAGAAAAGTGATGACAGAAAAGAGGTCCCTGATCAACACAATTTTCAGCTTTTATATTTTATTTTTTAGTATTTTTACCTTTTCAATATTTTACCTTTTTGACACTTTACCAACTTTCTTTATTGTTTTTTTTTTTTTTTTTTTTCTTCTTCTGATTCCACTTGTATTTTTTTTCAATTTTTTTAATAAAAATTCATTTTTAAGTCTTTTTCTTCTAATTTCAATCGACGGATTTTCTTCCGATCTTAAATTCCGCAGAGAGAAAACTATCACCTAAAGGCTTTTTGGAGTACCTTAGAAAACATTTGATAGCACTCCGACCGGCTATTGAGCCGTCGAGAGACTCAAATTTACTGATTTCTGCATACAACAAATT